ATATAAAAAAAATTCCTTTTTTGCTGAAGCACTTAAAGGGAAACCCTCAAGGCCCTGGGGGAGGGAGGGAGCTGCTGTACAAGGGGAAAGTAGGGCACATCTCCTGCCCCGCGGCAGATAAAACATGACATGTACAAGGTGGAGGCATCGGCCCTGGGGTATGAGGGGTTTGGTGAAACCATGGTGTAAGCAGAGCTGGTGGCCTCCGGAGGGGAGCTGACTCCTTATGGATATATGTCGAGTATTTGTAGTACAGAAATATAATTTCCAAAGGGTCAGTGCCTCCTCCTTTTCTAGTTTTTGATTTAAACCAGCACCTGGTTTGCTGGTGATGGCTGAGCGGCACTGGGCTGAAGCAAACACCAAACACTTGTCCTTTCTGCTGCGCAGTCAATATTTCACCACCAGAGCAGCTACCACGCTGTGCTCCAGGGAAAGGGGGTGAAAGCAGCCCCGAATTGGGGTGATTTAAGCTCTTTCTGCCCTGGCTGCTGATCCAGCCTTGGAGCTGAGCGGGCCAAGGTCCCCTGTGAGCACTCAGCATCTGTCCCAGTGCAAAGCCATGAGGGTAGGTGTGCACCACTGGTGACAGGGAGGAGATTTGGGTGTTTCTGCAGTAATTCAATGTATTTGTAGCCTAGCGTATGGGGATGGGGATATTGGCACGGGAGAAACTGCTTTGGTGAAAGTGGAAATGTTCTTCTGGCTCCGCTCTTGGCTTCTCCTGGGCATGGAGATGGTGGGAAACAAGCTGGGCATTACTGGGGGGAAGGAGCAGACTGAACTCTGCCTCCCCTCTCTGCTTTCACACGGATGGAGAAACCACCATAAATGAGGGAGGAGGGTTGCACACCTCTGTCAGGGTGTTCTCTGTCCTTCCTAGCGGGGATTTGGACGGGGACCCGTGGTTGATAACCCTGTGGGGGGCAGGAGCTGGCAGCGTGAGACATCATCAGCACAGGAGCTTTGGGCAACATCAGCAGCAATCCCTCAGCTGAATAAAGTAGCTTAAACTGATGACATTTCCCAATGGAAATCGATGAAGGTGAAAAATAGTCATCATAATGAAATATGGCCCCGATGGCGTTGAACGGGTCGGTGCCAGCCCCCCTGAGTGAGGGACTGGGAGAAAGCAAGAGGCTGCTTCTGCCACCACAGCACCTTCTGCACCTTCTGGTTGGGGATTCGTTCTGCTTCACCAATGTTCAGCCTAAACCCTAACACTGAGGTCCTCCCCCCAGCAATGCTGGCACTGCCGAGCCCCCTGGGGGGGTGGAGGACACGGTTACCCCCAGCCCAGGGTCTGGACAGTGCAGGGACAGGCTGTGCATGGTGTGGAGCTGCAAAGGAGCTTTGTGCCACCAGCACCTGCCTCTGCCACCAGCAGTGTGATGTGTATATATACATGTGTGTGTGCATGCATGCTCATGCAAGCTTCTGAGGCAAATATATGCATATATATGTATGGATATTTGCTTCAGGAGGCTGCACAAGACCCCTGAGTGATGCTGGGCATCCCAGTTTTGGGGCAACCGTTTGGTCTCCACTGCCTGGGTGCTGCTGGAGCCACGCTGGTGGGGATGTCCAAGCTGAGATGCTGGGAAGTCCTCAGTGTCCTCCAGCTCTCGCCCCAGTAGAAGCAGTAGAAGGCCAAGGCCAGCATGGGAAGCTGTAGGAATCTGCTCCTGAAGTGTGTGTATCCTCAAAACGCCCATCCTGGTCTCGCCGTCACATTCCTCTTTCTGTCTTGCAGAGTCGTTCACTGCCGACCACAAGCCTCTCATGGGGGAAGCCCCAGAGGTCCGAGGCTTCTTCCTTGGCTGTGGCTTCAACAGCGCTGGTAAGAGAGACCTGAAGGGATCACACCTCGGGCATCCCAGTGTGGGCAGCATATCCCGGGCAGAGCCTGCTCCCACAGCCCGCTCTGTTGGCCTCATCTGGCTCCTCATCTCTTCCCCCTCCAGGGATGATGCTGGGAGGTGGCTGCGGGAGGGAGCTGGCTCACTGGATCATCCACGGGCGGCCGGAGAAGGACATGTACGGCTACGACATCAGGCAAGTCACTCCAGTTGCCCCAGGGCTTGTGGGCTCCTTCGTTGGTAGCCCTCATCCTTGGGTGGTCCTTGGGGACGGGTTTCATAGAATCATAGAATCGTCTAGGTTGGAAGAGACCCTTGGGATCATCGAGTCCAACCATCTCCCCTACTCTACAAAGTCCTCCCCTACACCATGTCCCTCAGCACTGCATCTAAATGGCCCTTAAACACAGCCAGGGATGGTGACTCCACCCCCTCCCTGGGCAGCCTGTTCCAATGCCCGACCACTCTTTCGGTGAAAAATTCTTTCCTAATGTTCAATCTAAACCTACCCTGTTGGAGCTTGAAGACATTCCCTCTCGTTCTGTCACTAATTACCTGTGAGAAGAGACCAGCACCAACCTCTCTACAGGGTCCTTTCACGAACTTGTAGAGAGTGATGAGGTCTCCCCTAAGCCTCCTCTTCCTCATACTAAACAGTCCCAAAAGTTTCGAGGCAGGGCTGGATGGTGGCATGGGGAGTGGGTGTCGGGCAGCATCTGTGCTGCAGCCCGTGTCCCTCCGAGGAGCTGGAATCAATTACACTGGATGGCTTTAATGAATTTCCATGTGGGGTTTATCTCCTTGGCCTCATCCTGCTTCTACGCAAACAGCTTCCCCCAGACATGAGGAGATTGTGGTGATGGGAAAGGACAGGGTAATTACATTTGGGTTTTGTTGTTGTTCAATTAGTGCCGTGCCTAATCCTCTAAGTTAATAATCGGGGGGTGATGATTTCAACAGGAGAAAGATTAGCTTTCCCCCTCTCCCTGCAGCACGACGTGGGCCGGGAGTTTTGACTGTGCAGATGTTGGCTCTGTAATTGCTTTCGACTTGCTTGATTACATTTGATTGGGTTTGGGCTTTCTTACAGGGCTGCGAGCGACAGCAACCACCTTGTGAGGGACAAAGCTTTTAAAATCATGTTGCTTTAGTGCCAGCAAACACCCCCTTGACTCGGGCTGGGGGGAGAGCCGGTGCTGGTGCCCCCAGCAACCCCACGGCCGGGCCAGCCATGGGGCCAAACCTGGGAAGGAGAAATCCCAGGGCTGGACGGGCACCATCAGAGGGTGGGATGGGACAACCCCAGCCATCCTGGGGCTGGTCTGCACCGTGGGACCCCAGCCCCGCTCAGGGAGCAGCCAGGACTTTCCAGCCCCTGCATCTGGATGACCCCAGCATCCCCCGTATCCCGTCTTCCCCATCACCAGTAAAGCTGGTGTCAGTCCCGTGGTGGTTACTGAGCTCCTCTTTAAATAACTCCCTTCTCCACACATTAGGATATTTATCCTCTCGAAACGCTCGCTTGTAAATATTTCATCTGGCAGCTGCTGCTGCTCCTCTTGCTGCTGTGAAAGACTCAGCGTGGAGGGGCTGGGGCTGCCGGGGGTGCCGATGACACCCCATGTGTCACCTCCTGCCTGTCCCATGCCTGCAGAAGAGCCAGCTGCCCTCACGGTGAGCCCACAGCTGCTTTTGGGGAGCATCACTTGCCTTGCTCACACTGCTCAGCCCTGGTACCCTGCCTCTCCTCTTCCTCAGGGAAGGAAGCTTGAAGCATTGTTCTAAAAGGCCCTACAAATGGCATTTTTTCTTGTCTTTCTCCTCCTTCCTGCCTCCCTTTCTCCAGACCTGGGGGCTCTGGGCTGGAGAGGAGCCCGTGGTAATTCGGAGAGCCCCCCTCCCCTGCCTGCAGCGGCCGGAGGATGGGAAAGGTGCCACCGTGAGTTATAGGTCTCTGGTAATAATAACCTGAGCATGTGCTGAGCTGGCACATTCCTTCAAGGAGCTTTTCTGTTTGAAAGATGAAAATATGTCAAACAAATTTAAAATGCTTGGGGTTTTATTTATCTTTCGACCTAGGGAGAAGGGGATGAAAAATGTAAGGAATGTCCAAGGCTCTTTCCTTCATCGGGGCTGCGTTTAAACCTCGTGAGTTATAGGTCTCTGGTAATAATAACCTGAGCATGTGCTGAGCTGGCACATTCCTTCAAGGAGCTTTTCTGTTTGAAAGATGAAAATATGTCAAACAAATTTAAAATGCTTGGGGTTTTATTTATCTTTCGACCTAGGGAGAAGGGGATGAAAAATGTAAGGAATGTCCAAGGCTCTTTCCTTCATCGGGGCTGCGTTTAAACCTGGGCTGTGCACAAGGCATGCTCTGAGGCTGGCCCCACGCTGAAGCAAAGCAGAATTAACCTTAATTCTCTTCTTTTTTATCTTTTTTTTTCCCCCAGCAGGGCTGTGCTGTGCTCCCGGTAGCTCTGGGGTAGCTGTGGCTGGAGCAGGGCTGGGGGATGGTGAGGGCTGCAGCGAGTGCCAGCTCCAATGGGCAGTGCTGAGGCACGGCCAGCACCAAGCCCTGCATGGTTCCTCTGCTCTCCTACCCATCAAATGGGTGCGGGAATAGCAATTCTACACCACAGCAGCTGCATCTGCATCTGGGTCTGGCCAAAATGGCCATGCCCAGTGGAGGAGGCATCTCCTGAGCTGGAGGGCTCATCCGGACGCTGCCCTCTCCCTGCCTTCCAGGAGGTTTCACCACTCCCTCACCGACAACAACCGCTGGATCCGGGAGCGGAGCCACGAGTCCTACGCCAAGAACTACTCCGTCGTCTTCCCCCACGACGAGCCGCTGGCGGGGCGCAACATGAGGAAGGACCCCCTGCACGAGGTGAGGACATCCCACCCCAAACCTGGGCTGCCTTCTGAGGAGCATTGGGAAACCCTTGCAGCAGAAAAAGGGATGCATGCTGCATCCTTACTCCCATCCACCCATTCCGGGAAGATCCCTGCCAAATCCCAAAGCTCTCCAGGTGCACGCTGCAAGGGTGATGGGGCCACGGACAGTTTAATTGTGGAGATGCCAAGCACTCCTGTCATATTTAACTTAGCAGATATGGCTTAAGAGCCTGGCTCTGGTCACTGGGCAAAGGAAAAGCTGAGAGAAAGGCTCAGGAGCTTATTTCATTCCCTGCCAGTCCAGCTCAGGAGCAGTTGCAAGGGCTGTGGGATGCTGGATGCTCGCGGGGATCTCCTGCCCCATGCTGAATTTGGAGCTCAACAGCAGTTTTCCCCCCAAAAAAGGGCATCTCACAATGCAGAGGGAGTCCAGGGCACGGGGAGGGATGCGGGAAGAGCGGGGAGCAGCTGTGCCTCCGTGGATGCGATTTTTCCAGCCTCCACTAAGTCCCCACTGGTTTTGCTCCCTGTAGCTGCCAGCCTGGGCTCCTCCCGGCTCCCACCTTCCCCAGCTGCTTCCCTGCATAAATCTCCATAGGTTAACGCTTTCAAGATGCAGCACTTGAGGAAAAAACACCCAGTTTCCAGTGGTTCCCTGCATCAGCAGCATTGCAGCGACTGCAGCTCAAGAGCCCCCAAAATCACCCACTGCTCCCGAGGTTTTTGGGGTGACCCGGGGCTGGTGTCTCATCCCACCCCGTCACTACCAGCAAAGAGCAGCCACATTTCTCGAGCCCATTTCTGCTCTGTCTCTAATTCCTATCACACCATCCCTCTTCCGATGGAGAGCAGAGGCTCAAGCAGTAAAACAGACATCCCTCCCCGCCGTCCCCCGGTGTTTGGTTGACAGCTCGGTTGTTTTCTGTCACCGAGGATGCAATTTATTTTTTAATAGCATGTCTAATCAGCAATGCCCATTTGACTGACAGCCTGGTATTTATACATGCGGCTCCAGAACATGTGCCGTGTTTTATAAATAGGCACTGAATCATTTCTGAAACGTTCAACAAAATCTATTCTTTTCCGAACAGAGGCACCAAACAAAAATATCTTAATGGATCCCTAATTAATTGCGTGCAGGGAGATTTTCCTGAGAGCACAGAGGAGGAATGAAAAGGTTGCCATATAAATCTTAAATGCTATTATATAATTACTCTTGTAAACATCGGGGGGAATCTTGCTCGCTGGATTTAGCATCGCTCGGGCAGTAATTCGTGCGCCGCAGCTCAGGCTCTGGTGGGCACAGGGCTGGGCTGTCGGACGATGAGACAAACACCTTTCAGGGAGGGGGGAACACAAAAATACCAGACAATTTGCAGGCAGCTGGGGGTTTGCCACTGTTTGAAAAGACAAGCCACAGCCCTGATTTGGGCAGCTTGATCATAGAATGGTTTGGGTTGGAAGGGACCTCAAAGATCATCCAGTTCCAATCCCCTGCCCTGGGCAGGGACACCTCCCACCAGACCAGGTTGCTCAAGGCCCCATCCAGCCTGGCCTTGAACCCCTCCAGGGATGGGGCATCCACAGCTTCTCTGGGCAACCTGTTCCAGTGTCTCACCACCCTCGTAGTAAAAAATTTCTTCCTGAGATCTAATCTGAATCTTTTTTCTTCCAATTTAAAACCGTTTCCCCTTGTCCTATCATTACCCTTCCTGGCGAAGAGTCCCTCCCCAGTTCTTCTATAAGAACCCTTCAGGTATTGAAAGGATCACCAAAGCCAAGGGGCCACAAGCCAAGGGGTCACAAGTTGAGTCTTGAGCAGGAGGGCAGCCTGGGCGCTGCTCGAAAAGGAGCGAAAAGGCTTTTTTAATTTTTTTTTTATTTTTAAATTTTTTTTTAACCTTTTGTTCCCGTTTCTCTGGCTTTACTTGTGCAGGAGCTGCTGCGACAGGGCTGTGCTTTTTTAATTTTTTTTTTTTTTTTTAACCTTTTGTTCCCATTTCTCTGGCTTTGCTTGTGCAGGAGCTGCTGCGACAGGGCTGCGTTTTCCAGGAGCGACATGGCTGGGAGAGACCCGGCTGGTTCAGCCCCAGGGGAGCTGCCCCGGTAAGCAGGGCACGCGTCCCGGGGGGCACTCAGCGGGAGGGTACTGGCCGTGCCCAGTGTGTGCAGGATGCCTCCTGCATCTGCAGAGTCCGTGGTACACTGCAAGGAGGTGTGTGTCGCAAAAATGGGTCCATAAAAGCTGTTGGGCTTTAATTCACTGTAAGAGCAGTAAGAGGGAGATCCACGTGTGCGTGTTCTGTCTGTCTGTCTGCTTGTCCCTCTGCAACAGGCAGCATCTGCCTGCAACGAGGCACCGATCTCACTTCTATATAGTGAAGAGCAGTGGGCAGGGATGCAGGCTTGGGGACCTATCACCATGGGCAAGGATGATGGGGTAGGGACCCATCACCACAGACAGGGATGCTGGGGTGGGGACCCATCACCACGGGCAGGGATGCCAAGGTGGGGACCCATTATCACCAGAGGGATGGCAAGGTGGGGACCCATCACCACAGACAGGGATGATGGGGTGAGGACCCATCACTGCGGGCAGGGATGCTGGGGTGGGGACCCATCATCACCAGAGGGATGCCAAGGTGGGGACCCATCACTACAGACAGGGATGCTGGGGTGGGGACCCATCATCACCAGAGGGATGCCAAGGTGGGGACCCATCACCACAGACAGGGATGATGGGGTAGGGGACCCATCATCACAAGGAGGGATGCCAGGGTAGGGACCCATCACCACAACCAGGTCCTGCATGGACCCGCTTCTCTCCTGGCATGGGGTGAATGTGACTGGGAGCATACCCTTGGCTTTGGCCTCACCTCATCTTCCTCACTGTCCCCATCCCTACTCCTTCCCCCTTGCCAGGTTCTGGATTACGACTACTACGGTGCGTACGGCCAGGAGCACCACAAGGACTACACCTACAACCAGCTGCTGAGGGATGAGTACACCTTTGACTTCCCACCCCACCATGACATTGTGAGTGTGGGGGGCAGCTCCCCCCCAGGCTGAAACTGCTGGGCGCATCTGGAGCTGGGGGGAAATTAGAGGCAGCAGAGCCTGTGCCACTCCACTGCTTTGGGTGGAGTTGGTGAGGCTCAGAGGGAGGGGAAGCACTGAGCTTTGCCCAAAACCAGGGAAAATGTTCCAAAAAGATTAAGAGAAATGCGTGGCCCGTGCTCGGAAACCTCAGTGGAGAGGCCACGGGAATTTTACTGCTGTTTTCCCAAATGAGAGAGTTGAGACCAGCTTGAGACAAATACCCAATTTGATAAAATTTAGCAATTATTATTGATAGCTGTCACTGTGTTAGTGAGGTAAGGAAAGGGACTGGGTATACAGGATGGCTTATCAAACTCGATCCATTTAATACCTGATTTTTCAGGAGTATTTTGAAGCCTTACAGCCTTTAAAGGCACCAGGCACGTGTCCTGGTCTTGTTTCTCAGGGCATCAATGGTTCTAGCGTGTGCCTCCCTTTGTGGACTGAGAGTGTGGCTCAACGTCAGCGGTGTGTTGGCTTTCATTGCAGATCAAGAATGAATGCTTAACGTGCAGAAACGCCCTGGCTCTCTTCGACATGTCTTATTTTGGCAAATTCTACCTGGTGGGCCCTGAAGCAACCAAAGCGGCCGACTGGCTGTTCACTGCCGACGTGAGCAAAGCACCAGGTACCAGCTCAGCCCCCTCCTTTCATTCACAGAATCATAGAATGGTCTAGGTTGGAAGAGACCCTTGGGATCATCGAGTCCAACCATCAACCCTACTCTACAAAGTTCTCCCCTACACCATATCCCCCAACACCACATCTAAACGTCTCTTAAACACATCCAGGGATGGTGACTCAACCACTTCCCCGGGCAGCCTATTCCAATGCCCGACCTCTCTTTCTGTGAAAAATTCTTTCCTAATGTTCAGTCTAAACCTACCCTGTTGGAGCTTAAAGCCATTCCCTCTCGTTTGGCCATGTGCTACCTATGCTGATCACTGCCCTGGAAGGATGCCCTGGGAAACCACATCTTACACCAAAACAACCCATTGGGAACCCAAATTGGCTTTTTTTTTTTTTTTTTTTTTTTTTTTTTTTCTTTTTTTTTTTTTTAAATGCTGCTTTTGCAGAGGGTATGGGAAGCATGTGAGAGTGTCTGCTTTCCCTGTCCTTGCTGGAGGGGGGGTTCTGCTCTCGTTTACAGAGGGGCAAATGTGCTCTGAGCTGGAGGGCCAGGGGAAGGGGGTCTGGCTCTCTGGCTCCAGCTGCGGCTCACAGCTGGAGATGTGATGGGTACTGGAGTGAATCAAACACAACCCTCGCCAGCCATGGTTTGCACAGGAGAAGCTGCCCCTTCTCTGGGGCTGGGAGGCAGCTTAGGGCATTTCCATGGATGTAGGGGGAAAAGCATCATTCCTCTCCCCCTCCTGGTGCTGGGACCTCAGGGGTGGGTCAGGGCATACCCAGACTGATGTAATGATGGGGACAAATTTTCCTGCTACCCCCTCTCCCTCTGCCAGGGCCGTGGCTCTGTGTAGGGGCTGCCTGATGGGCAGCAGGGCCCATCTCCTTCCCCAGGCTCGACGGTGTACACCTGCATGTTGAACAAGCGTGGCGGCGTGGAGAGTGACCTGACTGTCAGCCGGATCAGCCCCGGGGACCCTGCCTCCCCCCTGGCCCCCGCTTTTGAAGGTAAAAGCCCTGAGCAGAGGGATGCTGGAGGTGGGCACCTTGCAGCCAGCGTGGGGCTGGGATCTGTGGTGGGTTTGCAGCTCAGCTCCCAGCCTCTCCCACTGCCTTTTTCTGCTGTGTCAATGCAGGCAAAGACCTTTCCAGTCCCGGGAAGCCATGGTAGCAGGTTCAGTCTGAGGTTCACCAGCATCTCTTCCATCCCTCCCATGCTTGGGGGGCTGCAGGCTCGGGGAGGGTGATTGCATTTACCTAATGGCAGCCACCTGGCTTTTTCCACCTCTACCCCTCGGTCCCTTTAACCCAATTATCCTCCTTGTCCCCGGGGGCCTGCACTGCTCATCCACAGTTATTGGGTTTGTCCAGCCCTGGCTGGCGGCTCTGACCTCTCCCCAGCTCCTTATCAGCCACAATAATGGGGAATTGAAAGGGAGCAGAGCAGTCAGCCCAGAGGGCAGAAATGGCATTAGGCAGCAGCAGAAGAGAAGGAGGAGGACACTGAGCTGGTCTCTGGCAGCACTGCCAAGTGCCTTACCTGGTGGCACTGGGGCCACCACCAGACAGGAGGTTTGCACTCATGGAGCCCCATCCCCATCCAGTGTCACCCTCGGAGCTGCTGCTTGGAAGGGACCAGCCCTGAGGTGGTGCACCCCCCACAATCTTGCCTTTTCCCTGGGGTGGTCGGGTGCCAGAGAGCCCTCCCCCTCCCCGTGGGGCGAATCCTGCATCCCCCTCGTCTGGGGAGCTCGCGGGGGACAGGGTGGGGACGGGAAGGGGATGGCAGAGCTGCGGGGTCTGTCGGGCGATGGGGGAGTTTAATGGCAGCAAAGTCTATTCTTCCAATTACAGTAGGTGGCTGTACTTATTATCGTTATGACAGATTATGAGAGAGCAATTTTGTAGTGGCAGGAAAGACAGAGGGAAGATTGATTACGTATTAATCAGCTCTCAAACCCTATCCCTGGGGACTTTTCCACCCAGGATTACTGCTGAGATGAAATTCCTCCTCATATACAGTGCAGCCCCTGCACTGGCTGGTCGCTGCCACCTGTATTTCCCAGTTCCCTCCACACTTTGGGATCAGCTCTGTACTGGGACAATGGAGCAGATGCTTTTGCTGTTGGTCTCAAGGGACAAAGAGGTTTTTTTTTTCTCTTCCTGTGATGCTCACACACACGCACAGGCACCTCCAGGGCTCAGGCAGCTTTTTTTTTTAACCTTTTCTTCTTTCAGGTTCTAACGGTCATTTGGTTTTCATTGTGCTGAGCCCCACAAGTAAAAGGCAGCAGAGCCCCAAAGCCCTCCCTTGCCCCAGCACTTATTTAACCCCCTTTTTCTTGGCAGCCCCCTTGGGCTGTGCAAGCTGGAGAGGCTCAGGGCTCCTCTCAGCCTCTGGAGAGCAAAACCAGCCCTGAGCTGAGCTGGGCATCGCCCCCAGCCCAACACTCTGGAGCCTGAAGGGCTGCCGGGGGGTGTCTTCCAGGGGATGGCTACTACCTGGCTATCGGCGGGGCCGTGGCTCAGCAGAACTGGTCGCACATCACCAACGTGCTGCAGGACATGAAGCTCCAGTGCAAACTCCTGGACTGCTCGGAGGAGCTGGGCATGATGAGCATCCAGGGCCCGCTGAGGTGAGTGTCACAGCCCCCTCTCCGGACCCTGATGCCCACGGAGAGATGGGTGGAGGGATGCTGGGATGGATGGAGGAGTAGAGAGAAGGATGGAGGGAGGGATGCCAGGTCCTGGTGTGAGCCCCATGGCATCAGGCAATGGTCTGGCTGGAGCAATGTGCCATTTGCTGTGGAATTGGCATTTCTTTTGAGGTTGTCACCGCCTGACATGTCACCCCCATCAGCTCCCCTTCAGAGGGAGACATCCATCTTGCCAACAAGACGAGAGAGCAAGTTTTAGCGATAACCTTCAGGGAATGCTACATCCCTTCACCACGGCTGCTTTGCTCTTTCCCCGCAGCCGCGTTGTCCTCCAAGAAGTGCTCGACACTGACCTCAGCAACGAAGCTTTCCCCTTCTCCACCCACAAACTGGCCACGGTCGCAGGATGCAAGGTAGGATGGGGTGACCAGTTCCCCTGGGGGGGTCTGTTCACTGGGGTGACTGCCCACCAGCCCACGCAGCCGAGCATCCTCTGCTCCGTCTGACCCCATATTGCTGCGGGGGGCAGCTGGGAGGCTTGGTTGGGTTTTTTTGTTGGAAAAGGCCAAAAAGTGGGGTGTTTTCCTCCCCATTTGCTTGCTGGGTGCCAGCCTGCTCTCCCAGCCCGCCCAGCAGTGTTGTAGCCTGGGCTGACGTGGGGAAGGGACATGGTGATTTGTGGCTTTGCAGCACTGTCGGGAGAACGAGAGACGCCTCCCACAGATTAGGGGCGAGCGCTGGTGATAAAGAGATTTATTTGACACTCTAGATCCCCTCCTTTTCCCCGTACGCATAAAAAAAAGGGACTACTTAATGTAAAGCATGTCAAGTACTGGCTGGGCAGCCTGCAGAGCCCGTGTATTTGATCACAGGAGAAGTCTGACAACCTTAAGCTTTCTGTAAAAGCGCAGATCATCCTGTGTTTGCCCAGACTTCAGGGCTCACGTCAGTGGTTATGCAAGAAAATCACAGAAACAGTAATGCTCCACCACCACCACCTCAGGCCGAGCCCCTCGGTGTCACAGCGAGGGGATGAGAAGCCCTTTGGGGCAATGGTGGCAACCAGCATGTCAGCCTGGCTCGGTGGGGAGTCATGGGTGGGGGGTGCCAGCCCCCCAATGCATCACCTGGGGATTCATTGCTGTCCCAAGTGTGACAGTTCTCAGCAAGCCACGGGAGATGCACCTTTCCCAGGCTGGAACCCGGCACCTGGGCTGCAGCGATGGGTTTAACACCCTGTGGCATCACTTGCGGTGTTGAGGTTTGGTGTCCTTTGCTGTGTTGCCAGGAGGTGGATCAGTCCCCAGGGTTTGCTGTCAGGTTCTGCAGCACTGCTGGCTTTCTCGCAGGGCAGTGAGAAAAGCACCTTAAATCTCTCCCCTGCATCGCCCGGCAGAGACCGACACGGTCCGAAGTTATCCCAGGGGAAAGGGGGCGATGGCAGGTCTTTGGGGAGGTTTGTCATGCGTGAAGCCGCCGAATCAGGCTGCTTGAAACAGCCCGAATGGAAGAGTTGGTGACCATGAAGTGTCGTTTTTGTCAGAAGAGAAACATTCTGGGAAAATCTGGCTGCTGGCAGGTTTGGGTATCGGGGAAAAGCTGTTGCGAGGTTTGCCTGAGAAGCTCCGCCTGGGTTTCTTGTTGATGTTTTACCCCATATGGAATTTTCCTTCTGTTGTAAAAACACCTCTTTGGGAGAGGGTGTACAGTTTGTATACCCCAGCCTTCCCTTGGGAAATCTGGGCAGGCAGTGGTCCCAGGGCATCCCTCTCCCGGCCGGAGGAGCCGGATGGCAGGAGGGATTGTGCCCAGCATTTGCTCTGGCTCTCGGGTTGGTGTCTGATGGGAGACGAAGGGGGTGAAGGTAGAGCCTTAAATCTCATAAAAAGCAGCAGGAAAACAGGGAGCTGGAGGCAGGCTGGATATTAGCGAAATTGGGTTAAGCCGCATGCGGACACTTTTCATTCGGAATTAAAGTGGCTTTAATTCGAATGCAGCTGGCTGCTGAAGGGATTGCTGCTAAATCAAATTAAGGCTACTTGATTTGTGAGCAAGAGCCTTGCCAGAGTTTGGGGCTGTTTAACTAAGCCACAGATTTTTCCCAACTCGGAATAATTCTCCAAACCATTACCACCAGTGTGCCCTGTGCTCCGGGTACTGAGAACCCACAGTGTGCCCAGTGTCCCCTGGGGTGGGACAGTGGTACGGGGGACCCAAAGGCCAATCTGTGGTTTCAGGTTGTCTAACGTGTTGCATTTTAGTCTCTACTGGTGAGTTATAAACCTCACCACCTCCTCCCCTGTCACCTCTGTGGCAAACTGATAACATCTTGTAATAATCTACTTATCCCCTGGGAAAGGTGTATAAATGTTCCCGTCTTGAGGAGCGTGATTTGCATTTTGCTTCAAGTTTACAAAAAAAATAATCCAGTCTTATGTGGAATAAATAGCAGTTACAAATTCTGTGGCTTCTTTAGGGTGTAAATACCCTGCCTGGATTCCTGACTATAGGAAAAAACCTTTTCTGCCCAAGGGCTCTGGGCTGGAGGGGGGGTCACCCTGCCTGATGCCACCCTTCAGGAGGTCTCCATCAGGGCCCTGCCACACAATGAGCACGGGGGACTCCATCCCACACCGAAATTAGAGTGGGAGGGTTTCTCAGGACAGCAGGCTGAAGCCTTCGCTGATATTATCGCCTTCCAGGGGGATTAAACTGAACCCAAAATCTTTAAAAAGTTATTGCTGACATTTTCAAGCATTAACTCAGTAGTTGAACAAAATCAGCTGGAGTGAAAGGAGAGTTCCAGCAGAGTTAATGACTCTGGAAATTACCAATTGGTTTGTGAGTTTATATATAGCATCTCTCATTGTATCGAACAGCAGAGAAAGGTCCCCCTTTGAATTTCACTGCTGGATACAGGGTAAAGTTCAGGTTTTCATTTTCCAGAGTACTCAAAGTGCTTTTGAATTGCTGCTGAAAGGCCCAGGAATTGATGCTATTTCATAGCTCCCGTTGAAATCTAACAGAAAAACCTGTTCCTGGGGGAATTTAGCAGAAAGCTGGCTGGGGGGGCCAAGCCCAGCCCTTGACATCCCCTTTGGTGTCTGCTGGGGGGGGGGACCCACCCCTGCTTGGGGTACACACATGTGGGTGCAACCCCCAGCTCCTCCCTGTGCAAAGCCAGTGGCTGGTACCCCAGTTTTCCTGAGGGATACTGGTTTCTGCCTCACCACTCTTGCAGGGATGCTCGCTCCCCCGGAGCAGGGCTGGTGTGGGGGGAATCTTCTCCCAGCAGTAACTTGCCCCCAAAAATAAAGTGCATTTCAGCTGCGGCGCTGACTGTGGAGTCGCAGGCTCAGGGTTAATGAGCCGGGAAGTTGCCTGTCAATCCCCAGAGCATCTCCTGCCGTGCTGAAGATGGTAGTTGGCTGCAGCGGCTTGATCTCTGGCTGTTCCCTAATTAGATGACACTTTTGTCTGGAGCAAAAAGCCTCCCCGCGCCTCGAAAAGCCCTCGCCAGCCTTTGTGCTTCGCTGCGGGGCTGTCGGGGGGGACAGAAGGAAGGATGGATCCTCAGCATGGCTTCTCATGAGGGGGCTCAAAATAAGTTCCCAGTCCCTATGGCATTCCTTTTTCCTCTCCACTTCTGTTGTAAAGGTTAAGGTGTCTTTAAAGCTGCCTTAAACTCTGCTTGAGGACATTTTTTGCAGGGCTGGTAGAGCATGGGGGTGCTGGGGGGAGCAAGGATGGGTTTGGGAACTCAGCCATCACCTGCTGTCCATCCTTGTAGCAGAGAGCCCGGGCACCCCTTTGGTACTTCTGCCTGTGGCTGCCTGTTTTGGGAAGTGGCTGTTGTTGTTTATACCCAGGGTTAGAGCAGCTCAGAGCAGCTCCTGGCTGTAGTAAAAGCTCAGCAAATGCCAAGATGCAGGTTCTGCCCCAATGACATCCAGAGCCAGCAGGGGCGAGACAGCCCCAAAGCTGCGGAGCGTGCCTGGCCAACAGAACCAGCCTGGGGGAGTCTCTTCCGAGCTGAAAACTGCTTTATTGAGGCTGCAGATCACAGCCTGGAGTGAAACTCTTGAGTTGATCTCTCTCCCCAAGCGAGATACGCGTTTGCAGTTGCTGTGCATCCAAAGGGATGAACGAGAGGGGGGTTTGCGGGGGAGGAAGCGGAGAAATCCAAAGGGATGAAGCAGAGGGAAATGCAGCTCAGACTCAAGGGGTATTTTCAGGGAAGGTGTCGGAGTTGGGGTGGTCCCAACCAGCCTGGAAAGCTTTGGGAATGCAGACTGGTTCAGCGGGGACAGTAGGAGGATGTAGGCAGGGCTGCCTGAGTGAGAAGCAAGGGGAGGAATGGGCAGGGCAGTGCCAGGGGAGCACAGACAGACAGACATGTCTCCGAGGATGAGGCTTCCCCCGAGAAGCACTGAGTCCCCTGTGCTGAGCTGCTCATTCCTCTTTGGAGCTTCATGCATTTGGTGAGCAGCTAATTTGGCAGCTGAGAGTAACGCTTTGGGGCACAACCTCCCCCCAGGGGAAACATGGGCATCCCCCTGGGGTGAGAGGGGCACGGGTTGGGATGCCAGGCTCAGGCCCTGCCCGGGGAGCAGAGAGCCTTTGGGTGCCTCTGCCGTGGGAGCACCATCCCAGGTGGGGGACACCCCCAGGGCACAGCAGCCATGAGGTGCCCCAAAGCAGGAGAGTCCTGCTGGGGACCGGCTTCCCCACCTGATGGTCTGATTTGGGGAGACACATGGTTGGGGGGGTGCTGTGGGCTTTAGTCTGGTGTGGATGGATCAGCAGAGGGAGACAAAAGCCCGGCTGGAGCCCGAGCATCATAAGCCCAGCAGTGCTGGTCCCACAGCCCTGGGATGGGTGGCCAGAGGATGCTGAGTGCAGCCCCCTCTGCCCACTGGCACTGATGATAGTTGGCTTTGAGGTGCCAAGAGATGAGAAATTCAGTCTGATCCTGGTTTCAGGCACTAGGGAGAGCAAAGAAATGCCTTCCACCAAAGTGGGGTCATTTCCACCAAAGCAGGGCATTTGCAGAACCTTTGCCCAAGGGTCTCGGGCAAGCTGGCTTTCCCCCTGCTGTGGTGGCCTGTGGCTCCGGTGCTGTGCAAACCGACTCGGTCCACAGGGGTGTTTGGGCTCTTGTGTTCTGCAGGTCCGTGCCATGAGGTTGTCGTTCGTCGGCGAGATGGGCTGGGAGCTGCACGTGCCCAGGGCGGACTGCGTGAAAGTTTACCGGGCGGTGATGCAGGCGGGGGCCCGGCACGGCATTGCCAACGCCGGCTACAGAGCCATCGACAGCCTCAGCATCGAGAAAGGTTTCCTGCTTTCCTCACCACAGTGCTCGCTGCTTTGTCTCCAGCTGGAGAACCAGGGGAAATGGTTTTTTTCCCAGCTTCAGGGATGGGTTAACGTGACTGGAGCCACTGGTAGAACAGCCTCAGCATCGAGAAAGGTTTCCTGCTCTCCTTACAGCAACGCTTGCTGCTTTGTCTCCAACTGGAGAACCAGGGGAACTGGTTTTTTTCCCAGCTTTAGGGGTGGGTTAGCGTGACTGGAGCTACTGGTAGAGATTCCATCCCTGGAGGGGTGCAAGGCCAGGCTGGATGAGGCTTTGAGCAACTTGCTCTAGTGGGAGGTGTCCCTACCCAGGGCAGGGGGGTTGGAACTGGATGATCTTTAAGGTCCCTTCCAACCCAAACCATTCAATGATTCTATGATTCAACCGGCCCCAGCGCTCCTTGCTGAGACTTCCCCAATATGGGCTTCTCTTGATGGCACCAGGGAGGTCCAAGAGGCAGGGGTGATGTCTTGGTCTCCTGATGCTGCTCCCCCTGGGCTTGCTGCCATGGTAGGGAGAGGCTGGGCGACCCACGCTTGCTCTCTGCAGGGTACAGGCACTGGCACGCAGACCTGCGCCCCGACGATACCCCGCTAGAATCAGGCTTGGCCTTCACCTGCAAGCTCAAATCCAGCATCCCCTTCCTGGGCCGGGAGGCTGTGGAGGCTCAAAAAGCCAAGGGCATCTTCCGCCGTCTCGTCTGCTTCACCACTGAGGAGTGAGTACGGATGTGGGACCCCGGGCAGCACCCAAGGCCAGTGGCCACCCTGGGATGAACACCTTCAGCCATCTCCATCCACCCCTGTGCCCGGGCAGGCACGTGGAGCTCAGTTGCAAACCGGCCCGGCAGTTTTCCATGCTCCAATTCCATCTCTAATTTAAATCCCACCGCGAATTCCCTGCTGGATGTTTAATGGGAGCTGGAAGCGCTGTGACAGGGAGTGGGTTTATCTCCTTCCACCCAGAACAGCGGGAGGTTTTGCAAATGGGGCTGGAGGGGCTTTGTGGGCACTGGGGATGAGCAGGGGGAGGTTAATGAACGTGTGGGCAGTGGGAGCACCAGGAGATGGGCTGGCCCGGGGCAGAGCAGGGGTCCAGTCCCCCCCCGCCAAGCCCCCATCCCTCGTGGGGTCCCGGTGTGGGGCTTTGCTGGTGGCAGCTCTGCCTTCTCCCTGCAGGAAGGTGCCGATGTTCGGCCTGGAGGCGGTCTGGCGGGACGGCAAGGTGGTCGGGCACATCCGTCGGGCAGATTTTGGCTTTGCCATCGACAAAACCATCGCCTACGGCTACATCCGTGACCCTGCGGGGGGCCCGGTGAGTGCAGACCCCCTGCCACTGCCAGCCCCTGGGGACAGGGGCTTGCTGGGGAGCTGGGGGGGGAGCGTAACACTTGTTTGGTTTTGAAGCCATATGCACAAATCCCTTGTAAACTCACTGTCGTCTGGGGAGCGAGACAGGGCAGCCCCTGCCCCCGGTGCTTTCCCCTTGGGAGGTGGGAGGGTGAGGGATGCCACGGCTCGGTGACGAGGTCGGTGTCACCGGCTGTCACTCTGCACGGTCCCAGCAATGCTCTCCAGCTCAAGAGCTGCCTCAGATGTTAATTGCATCCGAGTACTTAATTGCAGCGGTGAATTAACTTATGTTATAGGGAGCAACGGCCAATAGGAGCGCAGCAGGCTCTTAATTAACCCTGGGAGACTCCTGGATAGTAAATCAGATGCCCTCATTAAGGCAGTGTGCTCTAGGCAGAGGCCAGGGAGCCCGTGTGGGGACAGAGGGCTGTGAATGACGTCCCCAGGGACCCTCTCTGTTGGAAAACAAGAGCAGTGCCTGTGCTTGTGCTTTCCTCCTCTTGCTTGCCTTGATTTTTCATCAGTGCCAGGCTCCCAAGCCAAGTGGCTTTGTGTTACGGTTGCCCCCTCAGCCCCTGGGGACCACCTTTTCTCCCCACCTTGAACCATTCCCCCTTAGACCTTCTTTCCCTTCCTTTCCCACTCTCTCCTCCCTCTCCGGCCGCCCCCGCCTGCCCCAGGCAGTGATGACAGAGGCAGCAGGATGGAGGTGGAAGGCGGGGGGGACACGGTCCCCTCCTGCCTCCGGCGAGGCACGGATGCGGCAGAGCGGCGCGGAGTGCATCCCTGCCGGCTGCATCCCTGGCATCAATCCCCCCCCTCGCACCCCCGCTGCAGGCAAAGCTCTGCCACCGCTGCCTGCTGTGGGGCTGGCAGGGGGCAGCTGCCTGCTGGGGTGAAAAATGGCAATGGTGAGGATTGGCACCATTCTGTAGGGTCCCCAGCCCTGCCAGCTCCTTTGCGTGGCCACTCTGGCTGGCTGAGCCGGGAGGCAGCGCTCGTTAAGCGGATGTTAATGTGCAGCCCTCGTCTCTGCATTCCCTGGGTCAGGTTTATTGCCCAAACTCGTTGGGTTTTGGGGCAATAATTGCAGAAGGAGGGGAGAGCTTTTGTGCTGGTGCATTGGGGCATCTGCACTGGCCTCGCTGGGGGGCTCGGTGCTGGACCCAGACCCCACACCAACGCCGAACCCAAGCAGTGACATCCTGGCTGCCACCATGGTCCCCTCCTGCAGCCAGGGCTGACCCCCTTTGGGTGTCCCATCCCTGCACCCAGCCTGCCTGCTCTGGCCCCTTGGCCAACGAGCTCCCACAGCCTGGCTGTGAGCACACCTTGCATGGGGTGGCATCGAAAAAATCCACAGGAGAAAAGAAGCAGCCCTCAAAAAAAATGTAAATACTCCATTCTTTTTATTTTTTTAGCTGAATGCTTTTAAAAATCTATTTTACTCCTCTCATGCATCATCCCGGCATGGCAGAGCTGGGTTTTCTACGGAAAGCACATCTGTGGGGTGGTGGTGGGGCTTGCCCAGCGATGGGGCTGGGATGGTGGCAGGGGGCTGGTGCCTCCCAGCACCTAACGGGGTTTTCACTGTGGTTCTGCCTTGCAGGTCTCTCTGGATTTCGTGAAGAACGGCAGCTACGAGCTGGAGCGGATGGGAGTGACCTACCCTGCCCGAGCACACACCAAGTCCCCCTTCGACCCGGACAACAAGCGAGTGAAGGGCTTTTACTGAGAGCGGGGCCGGCGAGCGGGCGCTGCGGACGCCGGGGTGGGGAGAGGGAAGATGCCATCAGGAGCTGCCGGCTGAATTCCCAGCCCCCCGGGTACCCCAGCTGGCTCCAGGGTCTGCTGGGAGAGCCAGGCAAATGTCTGCAGCGGACTCATCAAGCAAATTTGGGTCAAATTAGAGGGGAAGAGGAGGAAGAGATTCCAAAAAGTCCAAAGATTTTGTTCCTATGTTTTCTAAATGAAGCAGTACAGCTACAGCAATAATTCTTTTCCATGGGTTAATTGGCCTGAAAACAGTGTTTTGCTCGACTGCAAATGAAGTGGTTTCAATTTTTGACTTTGCTGGAAACCCTTTCCCTCAAAATGTAGTTTCATGCTGCCTGGAAATGAATTTTTTTAACTAACTCTGCTGTTAATAGTAACAGCTGTAGCCTCCCTTCCTGCCGTCTCTGCCGTCCCTTGTTGTGTCTGTCCCTGCTCTGATGGGTGTCACCTCGTCCTGGCTGTGTCCTGGGGACACGGTGCTGGGGTGGGAGCACTCGTGGGGGGCACAGAGGGAAGGGGCAGGGGTCCAGGGCCACTGCCCATGCTCATGCTGTGGATGCTCTGCTCAGTGCAGGGTTCTTCTGCACCATGAAATTATTGGCTTTACCCAGGGGGTTTCCAGACGTGTTCTTCCCATCTCTGCAAGCACAGGTTTGTCCCTCCATCCCACCGTGTCCTGGTCACAGCCAGAGCTTCAGGTCCTGCTTTGGCAAATGCTTCCTTGCGGCTTCAAAGGTCGGAGAGAGTGGAAGCACCAACTTGTGTTGCCTTCAGTGGTGATTGGCACCTAAGGCCCTTCAAAAAAGTCAATGCTGGGGTGTGAAATGTTCAGTGCCTGCTTTGATTTTGTTCGTGGTGCTCAAGTGCTACCTCGGTGTGCGGTGGATGTGTGGAAGGTGGGGAGGATCGATCCTCCCCAGACCTGAACGATGACCTTGTCCATTTGTGGGAGGGTGAGAGTGAAGACAAGTCCCAGTTTTCAGCCATGGCAATGGGAGCAGGTGGTGCCCAGGGAGAGCTGCCAGCCTTGCCCCAGCCTCTGCCTTCAAAATGAGGGAAACGCGGTGCTGTGCGTCCCCGTGATGCTAAACTGGGGAGAGATCCTCGTGTTGTGCCCCAGAGAATGAAAAAAACTCCCCAAGGCCTTTGGAACCTGGGTCCTTGTTGTGTGTGTGTGTGTGTGTAGCCCCAGAATTTGGAGGAGAAGATGGTTTTTGGTGGCATGCATGCAGCCTGTGAACCCCTCACTGCTAAAGGGATGGGGTAGATGCTCCCAGCACGTCCCCATAATCATCCCTTGGTCTGGTCCCCTTGCTGGGCTCCATCTCCAGCAGTGCAGCCTGATCTCTGCTGAAGTTTTCACCCGCCTGAAGAAATAATCACACTGCATGCTTTTCACTCTCATTTCCCTTGGCCAGGTTTATATGCTTGGTTTATACCCTCTTTAGAGCTGATTTCAGTTCTTTAACCTCATGCAACAGGCGCCGCGGGCAAGAGTTTGAACTCTCAGATGCTTTGGTTTTACTGGAAACATTAAAAAACAAGATTGGGATGGATTTATCTCTGAATAGGAGGTGATTGCACTCCCCGACGCTGCCCAGGAGGAGGTCAGAGGAGGGGGTGGCTGCAGTCTTGTCTGTTTGTCCTGGGAATAAACGAGGGAGTTGCTAAAGGGGAAGAGGTGTGAGGAGCACGTGTCTCCCTGTTCAGCCAGGGATCTGCCATGTTCCTGCAAAGATAATGTTTTACTTTAAAAAAGCCTTTCTGATCCCCGGTGCTCTGACCTGAGACTTTTCCTTAATCCCAAGGTGGTGGTGGGGGGGGACAGGTTTTGGATGCCACCCGGGATAGCAAGGGGCTGGTACCTGGCTGGGATGGACATGGCTTCTCCTGCAGCACCACCAGCCTCTCCCTGCTCCTCCCGACTATTTTCCCTTTAGAGCTCAACAGTAAAAAAGCAAATTTTCTTTTTTATTTTTGTTTTTTTTTACATTTAGGTATTTAATGGAGTCATTTTTCCCCTCAAAAGCTTTGCCTCCCCACCCCCCACTCCCCCA